CCTTACAACCTTACAATAAGGCTGTACGGACATAGGAATCCCCGATGCATGTCAAAACGATTCTGATTGATTGTTCTTTGCTTGACACTTGCTTTCCCTTCCCTAAATATTTCTAGTACAGATTTTTACAAGTGTGTCATGACATGTGGGTTGTTATAGTCACGCACCCTCATAGCAAGAATGACCGTAAGATCTAGACCTTGCAGAGAAACCTTACACCCGGATGCAGACCCTAAACTGGGACACATTTGATAGTAATGATGTTATAATAACTTGACCACGATGTAAATATTTGAAAATCTTTTTGTTAATGCTGCTGCTGCTGCTGMTGATGATGATAATGATATTGACCAGGATATAGATATACCGCCACAGGATGTTGATGATGATAATGACTGAGGATGAGGATGATGATGATATTGACCAGGATRTAGATATACCATAGGATGTTGATAATGATAATGACTGAGGAGGAGGAGGAKGATGATGATGATATGACCAGGATATAGATATACCACAGGAYGTTGATGATGATAATGACTGAGGATGAGGATGATGATGATATTGACCAGGATGTAGATATACCACAGGATGCTGATGATGATAATGACTGAGGAGGAGGAGGAGGAGGAGGAGGAGGATGATACTGACCAGGATGTAGATATACCACAGGATATTGATGATGATAATGACTGAAGATGAGGATGAGGATGATGATGATGATGATGATGATGATGATACTGACCAGGATGTAGATATACCATAGGACGTTGATGATTATAATGACTGAGGAGGAGGAGGATGACAATGATACTGACCAGGATGTAGATGTACCACCTGATATTGATGATGATAATGATGATGATGAGAAAGAAGGAGATGATTCCATCGGTCCACCATTGAATAGTAAATCTGATCATTCAGTTATATTAGACTAGATCTAGATTAGAGGATGATGATAAAAGTGATAATGATGATGATGAAGATACATAATGGTGAACTAAGAGAATGTAAATTAATCACGTTATTTTCTGTTAACATTCGGTTGACGATTATTTTTGCTGTCGATTATTTGATGTTAGCTAAAGTGATCTATCACGTGATCCAACCCGCAAAGCTCTTTGATCGGGGAGCTAGGGCACTACTGAAAGCTTTAGTACCCCAGAATTTGACTACTCCGAAAAGCGCTGTGGGATTTTCCAATTTTCGTGTTATGGCAGATTTGACCAGGTTCAGCCCCTCCCTCCCCCATGGCTAACACGCTGATAATCCGCTCCGACAGCAATGTATAAAGTAATTTAATAATAATAATAATAATAATGATGATGATGATGATGATGATGATAATAAACAATTATTCGCCGAAGGCGAAGTGAATATCGGGGAATATTTCGAGTCTTCGAGCGGCGAGGTAAACATTCTCCGATATTCACTGAGGCTGAGGCAAATAATTGTTTTAGTATAAATGCACAGGTGATTCTTTCAAAAAAGGGGAAAAAAAAAAGAAAAAAAAGATAAGTGACATTTCTTTCCAGTAGCAGCAACAACAGCGGCTGGCCGCCATTTTGGATTATAGCTCGACGTGCGATAGTGKGAGTTTCTCGACCAATCAGCGCGCGAGATTTTCAATAATCACCTGCGTATTTTTACTAACAAGATTTATATAGCGCATTAGTGATCTTCTATTTAAAGAATCCCTCTTACAAGTACGTGATGGAAAATGACTTGTTGTTGATTGCTATTAGAAATGGCGTCTTCATCCTTTGACCCCCGCCATCCGGTACAAGCCCGTGAAAGCGAGCCAAGAATCTTCTAAGATATTAAAACGTCGGAAGGGAAAACCAGAACGATCAGATTACCGATACTTCCTCTGGCTAAACTGTTTTCTCTTAGAACGCGATGGACATGTCTTGTGGTTGATTTGAACTTCATTTGAGTGATAAGCAACTAGATTAATGGTGTCTATGGACCCTTGATCGTAGTGCAATCGTCAAACTATGTATATTTAGATTGATAACAGCAAAAACAAGGAAATTAAAAGCACTTACGGCATCATCAGTTTTAAATGTATGATAAGGGGGAGGGGTGGGGATTGATTGATAGCCCGACGATATAAGGCAGACAAACACTTAACAAGAGACAAAAGTGTATTGCCTTTATACTTATTAATGGTTCGGGTAGCCCCGCCTTAAAAAGAGATAGTGAGAGGAAGGGAAGGGGGGGAGGTGGGGGTTGGAGAGGCAACAGCTTACCCTCCAACACACCACAACTTACCCTACAAATCCTTATAGTGGTTGATTCTATATTTATGTCATTTGATCTCCTATAGTCGATATTATGAGCTGAAACTCCGCTTCCACACTAATATTAAGCTACCATCGTGACACAGACAACCTACTAGGCTCATGTGACCCGTTAGTTCATATGCAAAGTACAATAATACTCTTTCGTCGTTTGATACAATAATAGATCTAGGGTCAAAAAAAACGAATTCCCTTCTCTTGAGAATTCAAATATCTTATGATATTAATATGTTCAGTTGTTTTGACCCCAAGGTAGGAATTTAGTGCAAGGGGTTTATATGACCGTCTACTCTACTAAAATACGTTTTATTGGGTTTCCTGTGGTAAGTTAGCCCACATTATTAGTCCAGCGGATGATCATAGCAAGCATGCGTATTACTGATRACAGCGAACTCCCGCGAAAATCGAGTCCAAATTTTAACATTTGTTTTTATGTTTTTAACCTTAAGATCAATGATTTCTCATAATTCCCGCTTAAACTTTTTGCTAAGATGATTCCACCATCTTCCCTTGCAAGGCTAGTGCTTGGTAAGTAGAATTTGCTCGTCCTTTTAACGCTATATTTTTAGAAAATATTGGTCAACATTTTTGAGTTCATGAAAAACGATCAAAATATTGGAGATCAAACGATGGGATAAAATTATTTAAAACTCTGAAACACAATTTATACCTCCTTTTTATGATGATACTTCTTCATAATGTATATGAACCTGTAGATAACTATGATTTATCTAAGTAGTGTTGTTTAATCTCTAGAATCAGCCTTCAAACGGCAAAACACTTCCTCTTTTTATACGCATCGCTTGGTCGTTTGCATTGTGGTGTTATTGATGCCAAGCGCTCATGCCAAAGCTTTGTTTAGTCGATCATTTTATTCTTGACTTATAGAGGAATTGAACAAATCTTTGTAGCTACATAAGACTTACGAAGAGATTGTATTGAAAAAAATTAGACACACTTTAAACTATTTTTTTAAACATGAGGTTTGAAGTGGGAAAAATTACAAGGTTATCTACTGTAAGTCAAAGGACCTATTTTCATGGTTCTTTCATTCTGCAGGTTATTTAGAGGAGGAAGGACTGCAGAGAACAGCAGAAACGTTTCAGGAAGAATGTAGTGATGCGAAAAAGGTAAGTGAAATCTAAAACAACCTCTGGGACCATCTAAGTCACAGATCAAACCCTGAAACATCCTTTGGGCTGATCTAAGTTGGGGCACTTAAGGCTAACTCACAGATTGAACCCTAAAACAACCTTTGGGCTGATCTAAGTCAGGGCATGGCTAACTCACAGATCATACCCTGAAATGACCTATAGACAGGTCTATTAAAGTAGAGCCAACTCAGATTGACTTGAAATTTCACATGTTGGGTTTTGTGGAGGGAGGAAAACTGGAGAACCAGAATAAAACCCTTGAATACTGAGTCCAGGAATCAACGCGAGACTCCAGAGATGAGTACTACTAGTAAGATTCTTGGTTACCATAACCTCACATATTAAGTTGAATTTCTCTCTAAGCTTGAGTCAAATGCAGTAATCTTTAAAATTATCTCATATTTCTATGTCATAGGATCCTTTATCACAATATTCTTCTCTGAAGACAATATTGGAGGAGTATACTGGAATAAAGGAAACAGGTTGGTTAATAAATTGAATTTGTAAAATAAGAAAACATTCAGAATCTCTTTATTTAAGTGGCTACTCTTGTGAGCACTTTTGCACTACTTGAGGACACTTTTCGCTCGCACACACTACCTCTGCATTCAATGTTCTTTGCACAAAATGCTCAAATCGTATGTTGATTTGTAAGAATTTTTTTTGTGTTATTAAAAGGAGTTAGTGTTTTTAGGACACATWATGCTTTGCTGGGGAAGCTGCTTTACTTGTATGGTTGCTAATTGGGATCAAGCTGAGTTGACCTTCAGAATGAACCTAAGGTTAACCAATCAGAATTGAGGATTCAACATTGTACTTTGATTAGCATTTTGAATGATTCTCCCAAGAGACCCCAGAAAATAAAAATTCTTTTTTCCAAAATATTGCTCATAAATGCTAGAAGTTGGATTTATGGCAGAATTCAATTTCAATAGATAATAGAAATCTATATTGCATTCTTTGCAGTCTGACCTGCTTGGAAAATGCTAACCAAATAATTGACTCATAATTGGTTTTGGGGAATGCAGTCAACTCAGCTGGATAAGATTTATTGGCAGGGTTGTTTTTTTTTTGGACAGATACTGTACTTAGATTGGAGGGGGGGACTTAGATGGGGGGGGGGGCTTTTTAGGGGAGGTGGCTTTTCATTATTAGAATGCAGTAGGTAATTTATTATGATGAGGTTTGTTAATCTTACATGTTTTCATACTATTCTTTAGCAAGAGATCCTGACAGTGATCCTGCTAAGGTTATAACATCCCTCTGGAAAAAGTTAGATGTTGTTGTTGGACAGCTTAAGTAAGTAAAGACATTGACTATACAACTTTAGAACAGTGACTGTTGAAAACTTGACATGGTGTGAGTGTGTCATGCATTGATTTGTTAAGCAGTTATCTTACTGAAATAAGCTCTTCTCAGGTATTTTGAAATTAGTAAAGTGGAAAAATAACTACCATAGCTGGAAAGAGCATGTTCAGATGATGATCTTTGATCTTTGGTTTATGGTCTTTGGCTTTCCAGGTTTACTTGCTGTTATATTATAGCCATATATTTTTTTAGTTCATAATTGTGAGTGTATGTGAAGGCACAAAACACTTTCCAGCCTCCTTAAATTCAAAACTCGTGAAGATATAATTTTTGAAAGGTGTGAATTTTGTAAAAAAAAAAAAACTTGACTGGCCTGCCATAAAATAATGATTGCATATAAAAAACTGAGTTTTGAAAATTCATATCTATGCAATCTTTCAAATTACTTTTTTCTAACTTCACAGTTTTACTGTGAACCATGTCCAACTGATGAACACTAAGTCTTACATGTTTATATTCGGCTCATTGAGATTTGAATTTAATTTTGATTTCATTAACAGAATATTGGAAGGACCAAAAATGCAATAATGAATTGAACAATGCAGTCCTAAGGGGACACGCTTCGTGTCCTTTGACTGTAACTGTCAAGACTGTTTCATTCAGTGCATAGCGATAAATTAAAGAAGTAGTAACATTCATAACAGACCTAGAGATTATAATAACATAATATCATTATTATAATGATTATCTTCACCGGAACTCTGGAAAACTCTACCTACAGCAGCTTCTTTCTTACGTACTTCGTCATCATTAACATTGTTCAAATCTTCTCTTAAAACCTTTTTGTTCAAGTCTGCATTTTCATGTCAATACACCTGTAGTATAATAATTATCTAACATAAAATCATATAATCATAATCAATTATCATAATTTGTATGATTAGTTTTCATAATGTAAGTTTTTGCACCTAAAGCAGCACTGGATATGCACTTTATAAATTATTATTATTATTATTTATTATTATCATTAAAATGATATATGATAGAAGTTACAAGGTGAAAACATTCCATTTCTTTTCTATTCCCAGGTATCATACTATCCCTGAAAGTAAGGTTCCAAGAGTTAAACAAAGGACAAGTAAGTGATGAGGATAATATACTTTGCAAGCCAGAGACATGTTGTTCATAATATTATAAAATATCTTTGTTATCACCATCATCATCACTATTGTCATCATCATTATCAACATCATCACCATCACCACCTTCAT